GCAATTGCAATGGAAGAGTGGAGTCTATGCGCTAGACTCTTAATAAAACATCAAATGATGTGAACCCAATAGAACAATTATTATCTCGGGAGAATTGTTTAATAGGAACTAAATTTGCTTTCACGAAATACAACAAGAACATTATTTAAAGATAGTGACTTGAAGGAAGTATTGACAGATGTAAGAAGTGAACCATCTCCAACATACTTTTTGAGAATCATAATAATAGGAGGAAGAAAGAAGATTACCGGACTGTGTAGTCATGTGAAACATGGCACTGGTGTTTGGAAGCCAAAAATTATTTAGTTTTTCGTTAAGATTAAAAGCAGTAAAGGATCATTGGATATTTGCCATGGAAGGAGAAAAATGAAAAGCTATAGAATGAGTTAGCAAAAGACAGTTGTTTCCCATGTGATGAAGCTGAAGACTGAATAGCATTGTTGAGAAGGATGGACTATAGATGCAATAGGTGTAGAACCAAGTAACCTTATGTTGGTAGAGGCTGGCAAGGAATACCGAGTAGAGAGTTGGTTTTGAGGGCGTGGATTAGAGCCTCCATGAGAATTGTTTTGGTGGCCTTTGTCCATGTCTTGAACCTTTTTTGGAATTGAGTTTATTAGGGTTTGAGTTTGAGGAAGATTTGGTGGTGCTGTTTTGTGAGGAGGTGGAAAAAGTATAAAATGCAACTTATGAGTCAGTTGTGGTGGTTAGTTCTTGGTGTTTGGTGAGACACATTTCTTGCAAATAAAGAGCAGTCTGTAGTTCAACAAATTATGGGAAAGGTTTGTGTGAACTTAAACTAAGGACTCTGTTTTCATGGTCGATAGGTAAAATTTCTAGGATTTTCAGCACAAGATCCATAACGACTTATGGAGATAAAGGAATCATATGAGGTTTTAAGTTTTTTGAGGTAACCATCTACAGAGAAGTTATTTTTCTGGGTGTTATAGACTTAGATTTCAGATGGAATAGTTGGGCATGTGCTTTATCATGAAAAAATTTCTTATCTTGCCTGGTTGGCGGTTAATGTCCTATTAGGTTTAAGTAGACTACATAGGAGATCGGAAGAAATAGTGCCTGAGTCTAAGAAAGGACTAAACAATTCACTTGTTTCCATAGAAGAGCATCTGAGTTATCCTTACTTGCTTTATTAGTATTAGTTAAAGGAGGAAAGACGTTTGTGCCATCCATGTGGTCAAGCACACCATAATATTGAAAGATATGAATGAATAAAGATTTCCATATAAGAAAGTTATTAAAGTTAAGGATTTCACTGGTATAATTTCTTATGTTGGAAATACCGAAGGAAGGGTTAGAATTTTTTGAGGGAATAGAGGACAAGGAAGCAAAATATACGATAATATTGATGGTGGAGCTTATTTTGGAAGAAACTTTACTACCATGTAAACTTTCGGAATAGCTGATAATGATGAAAGAAACTCGGAGCTTATGCAAACTAAGGAAATCTGCTTCTCCCCAATATTGTTTTGAGACTTGGTTCTAGAATAGAAAGACTCAAGAAGTAGCAAAAATATGACTATTCTTGCATTCTACTACTCTGCTTTGTTGTGGAGTGTGGATGGATAATGGTTCATGAATAATTTCTTTTTGATTAGAAAAAGAGGAAAGTGTGTAATCAATAAAGTCTTTTGCATTGTCAATGCGAAACCTTTTCATGTAGGTTCCAAATTGGATTTTCATCATATCGCAAAATTGGGATATTATGTGGTTGACATTAGATTTGGATTTAAGTAAGAAAAGCCATGTGATTCTAGTGGAATCTTTAGTGAATTGAATGAACCGTTGAGCTCCAATAATATTAGGAATGTGAGATGATCCCCAAATGTCACTATAAATCAATGAAAAAGAAAATATACTTCTTTTATTGCTAATAAAAAATAGTACACGTTTATGTTTGATAAATTCATATAGATTTCCATCAAAGGATTTATAAATTAAAAAGAAAACATAACTTTCAAAATGGAAAAGGATGAGTATCCAAATCATTTGTGGTAGAGCTAAAACTTGGGCGTAGCAGTAATAGTGACAGAAAGAGATATCCTAGGTGCATCCAAGTAGTACAACCCGTTTTTGACTTCAGCATGCCCAAGCATATTCTCTAAGTTCCAGTTCTGATTACAGTGAAGGAAAAAAGTTATTTCGGAGTCTAAATCCTGTGATATTAGTATTTAAAAAAAAAAAAAAAGAAAATCCTGATTGAAAATTTAGTGACTGATGAAACCAATACAAAGTTTATAAGCATGTAACATATTCTCAGAACTAGGATAGAACTAAAGTTAATGTTGCCATTGCCTATAATGATGTTTAGAGACTCATCAACAGTGACAATATTCCTACTACTTGGATATGAAACATATGTGTGAAAGTATTTGGAAGTATTTGTATATGATCGGTGACCTTTGAGTTTACAATCCATAAATTTTCAAACGGTTTATTTCAAGTATTTAAACCATGTGAGAAAGAAAACATACCTGAGTGCGTCGCTAAATCTGTACTTGTTGGTTTCTAAAGGTCCTCAAGTCTACTTTTGAGCTGTTCAATTTCAGCCGTGAATTCACAAGATCAGTGGGTTTCTCCTCTCCCTGTTGATGGGCCACATGAGCTTGTCTGTGAGACTTCCGTGAAGTTTTCTTGTATCCCTTTTTTTTGCTTGAGGTATTGGGCTTTCCATAAAGTTTCCAATATTTGTTCTTTGTGTATCTTGGCTTCTTGCGAAAAGTACACCAAAAATTATCCTTGTTTTCTCCTCTAAAAGCTGAGTTTTCAGTGTGACTCAGTTCTTTTGCCTGTTGGCACGGCTTGGAGCCTTTGAGATCAGAGCCGAGCTGTCATTGGGTTGGGGTTCTGACATGATCTCTCTCTTATTCTCGTTTGCAGTTATAGTAGAAATTACCTCATAGTGATGAAAAATTTTCTTTTCTCAAGATTTGGACCTTGACTTGATCGACCTCCAGATTGAGTCTTGCAATAAATTGGTAATTCACACAAACTGCTTCCGGTGGGCTCTATCCTTGCTGCAGTCCACAATAAGGCAGCAGTACTATTCTAATTCCTGCTACCAAATTTTCAACAAGTTAGAATACTTAGTGACTTACCTGTTTCCCTATTTTGTGGACCATGTCTTGACCATCAAATCATATAATTGGATTTTAACTCTAGAATAGGTATCTCTAAGTGCATCCTGGACCTCTTTTGTTGTAGGCAGAAACATTACTGTGTTGCTTGTTTCGGGTGGTGTAGAATTCCAAAGCCACGTCATTGTCAACGAGTGTTCTTCATCCTAGATAAAATTGGGTCTTCAGGTTTTGATCTGATAGTAAGAAGGTGGTGAGTTTTCCTTTTCCCTTTAAGGATGGTCTGAATAAGTTGTGACCAACTCAAATATTTCTTTGTTTTGAAGTGGTAAACAGCTGGATTGGCTGAAATTCGTCATTACTTTGTGCTGGATTTCCCATGTGAGAATTTGTGCCAGTAATTTGGGTTGTTACCTCCGACATGATTTAGATTTTTAGGGCAATAAAGGCTGAATAATGAAGGGAAACACAGGTGCAGCCGGTGCGCTTGTGGCTGAGCAGGGAAGAGTAGCAATGGCACACAAGGTGGTGCGTGGCTGATCTTGGACAGGGTCTAGTCAGATAGAGTGGTGAGCACAAGGTGGATCTGGCGGGATAGCTGGTGGCTTCAGGGAGCAGTAGCTGGAAGGGGGTGCGCGACTGGATGGCTGGCAGTTGCAGGGAGCAGCAACTAGGTGATTTGCAGCTGCTGTGCAACACTGAAATGGGGCTGAGAGATCTGGGGCCGGCTGTGAAAGCCGGTCTTGGTGCTGGTGGCTCAATTTTGTGGTAGTTAGTGGCTGGGTTGTAGTGGCCGGCAAACGAAGGCTGGCTCCTCAAGGTTTTGTGTCTTATTTTGCAATGAAGGTCAATTAGGGTTTATGAAGGAGATCTTGGGTTTTTTTCTTCCTCGAGTTTTTGATGTCATCTTAAGAAAGGTTGAATTTGTATTTTATGGAATTTTATGGGCTTATACATATAGGTTTTCTAAAATAGAAAAGAAAATAAACAATTAATTATATCCAGTGCATTTTACCTTAATGACCTTTAACCTAATTCTCTTAATTACGTGAGATACATTCTGTGACAATTTATGTGATACCTATCTTTACTCCATGGACTAACATAAAACCTGTAGTGCCTCATGTTAACATCAGGAGGGAAAATTTTGAGCTTGATGAGTTCAGCATATTAATGAAAGCATACTTGAAAGAATCTACATTTAGCATTTCTCTTAGAATTGATTGGTTCATTAGATCTTACCAATGAAGGTCGTACTCTATTTATGGATGGTTATGGCAATTTATTTTTAAAAAATGGATGGTTATGGCAATGCATTGAATCCATGGGAAGAAAAGGAATGAAACTTAATGTCCTGTTACAGAATGATTATTTCCACTGTCTCGTTATACCAAATCTTCATTTGTTACTTGCCTCTTTCTGTTAATTATGTATCTCATGTGAGGTATA